CTCTCCAGAACTGAAAAGCTTGGGGTTTCTGGGGGAAAGGAGAGGTAATGGGTATCTAAAGTACGTGGATGATGTCACAGATGTGGTAAGAATACATGTAAGTACAAGACACTTTGTAAAACTTTTATTTTTCAAGATAGCAATCTGTATGCTGGCTGTTTTGAATTGTGAAGAGGCAGAGGTGTTTGTGTTGATTTGTTAGATAGCAATCTGTATGCTGGCTGTTTTGAATTGTGAAGAGGCAGAGGTGTTTGTGTTGATTTGTTACTCTGTGTGGATTGTTCCATTGATTATTTTGAGGATTAGTTTTGTGTATTAGAGTTTATAAGAGGCCAAGTTGAAAGAAAGTAGAATGGGGGATGGAAAGTTTGGAAGAAAATAGTGGCAAGAGAAAGAAGAGTTAAAGTAAAGATAGAAACTAAAGCTGAACTTGAAGCTACCCTACCCAGAATATAGTCAGCCACAGTGGGATGGAGGGCTAGCATATGGCTTGAGCCTGAAATCTGTGTGGAGTCTGCTGGAGTAACCGGGTGCCCAGTAGAAGAACTGTAGAAGTGTGGAGAACTTGAGAAAAATTGGATTTTAAGCATAATCTTCTGAGTAAGAGGCAGGGGTTTAGGTAAGGAGAGACAGATACCCCTTCCACAATGAAAAGGTGGGTAGAGGGATTCTATTCTCATCCAGGAGCCTAGTGAGAGGATTTTTGAGAAGGCAAAGAACTGGTTGTTTTTAAGGGAGGTTGCTATATTGGGTGTTGGAGCATTGGAATATTATGGATTATTTAATTAATATTCTTAATTAATTTAGCAACAGATTTGAATGAATTTGAAATAAACTATTGTCAGTGGCATAGTCTTACACAGAGTAATATACAAAGCCCCATAAATTTTAATTGGGGAGTTGTAGATTAAGGCAAAAGACTTTTTAAAATTAATATATTAATTTGTGGATCAGTATTATTAATTATCAGTGTGTTAATTAATGAACCAACTACATTTCTGAATCTGATTTATTTTATTTACAAGATAGAAGAATGGGGCCCATTTGATTTTATTTTTGGCTCAACTCCCCCAGCAGCAATATTTTACAAACATCCATCTGGTAAGCAACTTAATCATATATACAATGAAAGCTATTAATATAAGTATCTTGGATTCTGGTTTGTTGAAAATCATTTGTTCTTTTGATTGCATTTTTGTCCCCTCTTCTGTAATGTAAATAGATTTATGTAGGAATTCATTTGATGGTTCCATCGCTGTCGGGTACTCTTACTTCCATGTAAATATTTATAGGATTGTGGCTATGCTTCACATTCCTAAACATATTTACTCTTACCCAAAAAAAAAAAAAAAAAAAAGATACGAAAAGAAACAAGATAATAGACCAACCACCAGTAACGTGTCCCAATCCCCCCAATGCATTAACTTTGGCCTCACTGACAGAAATAGGCAAGCTGGACTCAGATGTTGCTGAACCACATCTTCCAACCTTTCTAGGAAACACAGCAGTTTTGAGGTACACTGGGCCATAGCTGTAATGCCACAGGCTCATTGTGATCATCCAATAATTATAATTGTAGGCTCACTTCTGAATCATGGGTAACACTTTGGGAAGCACAGCTGAATGATCCAGTCACTTACTCACCCTGGCACATCTCTTCCCTTTCTCTCTCTCTGTCTCTAGAATAAATCTTTTTGTCAGATAAAACTTCAGGTTCACAGAAAGAAGGAGTTAATGCTGATAACCAACTACTGACTCCTTTGCCCAGCGGTGAGGAGGAACTATGTAGCAATTTCTAAGTGAACACAAAACATCTTAGGTCACACACCAATTTCACTTTTATGCACTTTGTAGGATTTCAAGACAGCATATCTAGCTTTCCACCATCCACATACCCTTACAAAAATCCTGTTAGTCAGGTTAAGCTCAGCAATAGTGACTGTCATGTCTTGTTCTCGTGGTCTTCATGGCTGAGTGAGGACTTGAATCTGAATCACTCCAATCTTAGTCCTAGTTCAGACATAACCTGTGTTTGCTCTCATTGTTATTGGCTAATGTTTTACTAGAGCCAGTTTGGTGTAGTGGTTAAGGCATCAGGCTACAAACTGGGGACCGTGAGTTCCAGTCCTGCCTTAGGGACAAAGCCAACAGGATGACCTTGGGCTAGTCACTCTCTCTCAGTCCTAGGAAGGAGGCAGGGGTAAACCACTTCTGAAAAACTTTGCCAGGAAAACTGCAGGGACTAATCCAGGCAGTCGCCAGGAGTCAAAAACTGACTTGAAGGCACAATAAATAAAAAAAATGTTCCACTGCCATAAATCCACTGGGCCAATATTATACTTTAATCTACCAATTTAAGGATTTTAATATGCACTTCTGTCCTATCACTGCCCAGTAAGCATAGCTTGAAATTCACACCGTAGGATTATGGGTGACATGAGCCAATTACTAGTAATACAACAACTTTTCCCTTCTGGGGGAGCAGTAAATTATGCTAATTTTGCAAGCTGCATCCTAACCAATTTTGTACTCATATCTTCTAATCGTTCCAATATTCAGCCCAATACAATGAATAAAAACAGCTGGGCTCCAATCTGTCTGTATAATGAACTGACTACCTCTAATTAATTCTCAAGCATCTGGCAATCATTTCAAGTGGCTGTATCAGACACAGTACATTTCACAGAGTTTTATGGATTGCTGTCCACCATTGTAAAATCCATAGCTGCTCCGTAAGCATCTAATTTTTAGTCTGTCCCCATTCTTTATCTCCTAGAGGCAATATTTCTGTTTTTACTAGAGCCAAGTAAGTGAAACAGAAGGATACCATTGTCTCTATCTCACTTTATGACTGCACTAAATGGCTCTCCCCACCCCATTTAATATTGACTAGGGAACTGCAGCTGTGAAAACCTAATAGTTGTGGTCATTTATTAACACTCTTAATATACTGGTCATAAAAATGTTTACTTGGGGGCTTGTCTATTTAATTTGCATGAAATTAACATTGTAGCATACCTCCTTACAATTATACATTTCATTTTGCATTCATCCTCTCAGCAATCCAAAGAGGTAATAGCTGAAGTGGGAAATATTCTAGTTCTAGTTCCAATACCCTTTTACTGTAAGGCAGTGTTTTTCAAACTTAGCAACTTTAAGATGTGCAGACTTCAACTCCCAGAATTCCCCAGCCAGCATACGGGCTGGGGAATTCTGGGAGTTGGTCCATACATCTTAAAGTTCCCAAGTTTGAAAAACACTGCTGTAAGGGATTCTTTTAGCCATTGACATTTGTGCCAGTGGCCAAAGAGCTGGATGCTATAACTTCTTGCTACTTCCAGATCTGTTTGGGTACATTTTCCATCATTCATAACCACCAGAATTGGGAAAGGTTGCTAGATCACCAATCAACATATATCAAACTGGTGATTGGCTATTGCTTGTGAATTACAAATATGAGACAATAACTTCCTAAATGAATTTAATACTGAAAAGGTCCAAAATTCTGGACAAATGAGAAAGATCATGTAGTATGTATCACTTTAGAAAACACTGTTTTTAGAAACCATTTTCAGAGGCTGCTTACAGACAAACTGTTTTCTTTTCTCTCTTCCCTCTAAAGTCTGGTATTTTTACCAATTTTTTCATATACTTCAGTATGGAAGTCCTGAAGAAAAAGTAAAAAGCCATTTTTTTTGGCTATTTGTAGACAATACTGTCTTGGATAAAGCAGAGAGAGATGCAGCTTCTCGCTTTTCTCAGGTTAGTTGGAAACCAAATTGCTATCAGGAAGTGAACGAACTGTGTTTGCGTTACTTATTTAAATGCCTAACGTTCCTATAGATTTTTACTGGAATAATTCAGAGTTAATACAAACGACAGTATTGGCTCTGCATGCATCCCTGCCACGTCACAGATTTCAGTTCATCCTTTCGGCATCCACATGAAACACACATGCACAGAAACATGATTACAACAAGCTAGAATTCAAATTGACTCCCGGTTTGTTCCCAAGCCTCATATAAAAAGGTCCTGGAGGGCAGTTCTACATCCTGTTGTGTGTGGACCTGCAGACTTCATGCAGCTTCCCAGATGATCCACAGAATTCCCACCCATGATAATACTGCCATAGTGGTTATTGGAAGGCCTAGTTTAAGTAATTCACCCCACCCAACCTCCCGAAAAGGGCATGAAATTGTAGGCCTGTCTTCTGCAATGACATCACCTCAGTGACATGCCCCTTTGACCCTCTGAGGCCCCTATCCTCCCCCTCCTCCTCCTCCATAACTTAAAAAACTGAATTAGATAAAATTGCCTAGTTCGGCATTACGTGGAATGAGCATTGTTTGGGAGACACTGTTCTAATGGTTGAGGTATAAATATGTTTGTTTTACAGATGGAAGCAGTTCTCAGATATAAGCAAGATGATGGCAATGTCCAGAACGCAGTATACATGCGGAGCAACATTCCATCTGTTAATAGGTGACTAATTTGTTTCTCAGAAACAAGTTTAACTTAGCATATTCTTTTAAAGGCAAACGAATGTAGAGTGTTGTAAATAATTTAGGAAATCCTCAGGCTTTTTAATAGTTCTTTGCTGTTTTTTACTATAAAAATAAATATTATTACTTGTTTGCTATAGTGAATTTTCAGAATTAGGTTCAGCAGAGCTTCCTGGGTTTGTGTGTGACTAAAGTGTAATGTTACTAAATATCATTAATTACGGTGCTTTCCCATATCTCCTATAAGCAGAACAGTGTGCTATAATCTGCTCAGTTCCCTCCATATATTTTGCTGGGCTACTGTGGCTTTCATTCCCAGGAACTATAACTATTGGTCAATACACCAGGGGGATTTTCAGCTTCCCAGGTAGACCAGGCAGGAAATATCACCAGATGAGCTAATTCTACTTTATTGTAAGGCTACATTAACAGAACCTTGCAAGTCTGAAAGTACAGCCTGGGAAACTATGGAGGGTCCCTTCTGAGCCTCTTTCTCTGCCCATTACACAGCTGTGAGCTATGCCCTCTCTTATCTGACCATTCCCTGGGCAACATCTCTTCACCCCATCTTTCAAGGTCTTCCTCACATACCATTACAGGAATCTAGGTAATAACATATTTCATATGAACTCTCACACAAAACTTTATCATGTGAAGGTAAGGTCACATTCCAGTTTAAATCAATTCTTACAATACATCTGTCGGTAAGGTTGGCAACAATAGTGAAATAATTTGCCAAAGCCACATCAAGGATGATTCCAGGAGTGCTTTAGCTGACTATATACAGTAGCTACTGGTAATCCTGAGATTCTACAGTTATTCTCCAAATATATGTCATATGAAAATACAGCGTTAGCAAGAAAAGGACGAACCAATATAGAGTGTAATTCTCTTAGTTAAACTTAATTTGCCTCTCTGCATGTTCATATCATGAAACCTACCGTATAATTTCTCTAAATGAATTAAGAGATATAAAATGAAACTATTTTAGTATAGTATTGTCTATAATAAATAAAATTTGAAAATATGTGTCAACTGGCCATTTTTGTTTTGAGGAAATTTGGCCACGGGCTTCTTGGTTTTTCTATGAAAAGATTCTCTGATAACCAAGGGCAATGTTTGCTCTAGGTTTTTTTTTAATTTGATTCCTAAAGTAGATACAGTATGTACAGTATAAGGCTATATATTTTATTCAAGAACCTTCCCTTTTGTGGCTGGGTAAAAGAGAAAGAATATAAGTAGAATTTCATCTGCTATGTTGGAATGCCATCTTTTTCCAGCCAGAAAAGTTCTATACACCTGCAAAACTGAGCTGGAACATGGAGGAAGGAAAAAGATTCCTGCCTGCCATATTGGTATCCAGTCACATAATTTTGTCATGAATTTGGCATCAGCACCTTTAAATGTATAACTCCATACTGTATTGCATGATGAGGCCTTCTAAGATCTCCCAAGGTAAAATGCCCCAGATACAAAACAGAATAATCCTTTATGTTAGATTGGAAT